TTAATTTCAAGATTTTAAATACAATTAATTTTAAGTTTGTGACATAATAATAATAATCATATATAAAACAAATCCGATTTTTTTACAAAATGTCGGGTTCCAATTTATTTTGTGTAATAATTGAATACGGTAAATTGGTTCTCGATTGATTGTCCTTGGGTGGCTTTTTTTGGTCATGTTTTAATCATTTGTTTTGTTTTTGTCCAAATCTCTCTTATTGCTTGTTGTTTTCAAATGACATATGCTTTCGTTTGTGGTGATATCTGCATTTTATATAAAATGTTGGTTAGATGCATTTTTTGTTTTTACAATAATAATTACAATCTTTCGAAAGAATTATATATGATAAGTTAAAACCGTTAGTTTAGATCAAGATTCAAGAAAAGACATGTAAGATTATGTAACTAATGGCAAAGATTTTGTGGTTGATGTTATGTGTTCATGGTGGTTGTTTGGAAATTTAAATATATATATATAATTTTTTGTATATATATATAATGGCGATTAAATATGACCACATGAGATTCACGATTTTTACTCAATCAAAAAACTTAGATTTATTTTTTATTTTATGTATTTATTATATTATCATATATTTTATATATATATATATATATATATATATATGGTTCAAATGTTAACCAAAATTATTGTGTTAATTTTATTAACCAAGCTCAACCAATGAAAATTAATCTTTTCTTTAGGTTCATATACATCTCATATGTTAATGACAAGGATAAATAAATAATTTTACCATTTTATGTAACTCCTATATCAATAATTGCGAGTTACAAAATCTAAAAATCTCATAATTGATGATGATTTAATATTGATCTTGTTTTTCAAATTGTGAGTGTTTTTTAAATTTGATTTATCTATCTATAATGTTATTGAATTTGTGATTATTAAAGAATTTCCGATAGTAAAGTTTCGATATCGTCCAAGCTAATATAGATATAACCATTGGAAAACAGATCGACAACAATGAGAATGAGAAGGTTAAAATGGTTTATGATGACAATCGGTCTTCGAGTTCCGGAAGACAATGGTCAAAGCGTTTGTATTGGTTATGGATTAATATGATATTGCATTCATTTTAATCGACAGTTCTCACCTTTGACAGTTCTCACTTATCTTGCAAAAAAGGTTACAGCAGCTGACCTGTTGAACATCTTCTGTATATTTAGGATCTGACTATGTTGAGAGATTCAGTTAGTTTATAGGTGAAGACAAATGAAGTTAACACACAGTGCATTAGATGCTCATATGAAGACATATAAAGACATAGAGACACACACAGACATATGAAGACATATGAACACATCAGAAATCACACAGCCTTAGATGCCGTGATTCATAAGTGTTCATGTCTATTCAAGTCACTAGATGTTCATATGAATCTATATATACACACACAGAGAACATGTGAAGACATGTGAGCACGTATGAAAACACACAACTCTAGATGACTTGGTTCATACGTGTTCATGTATATACAACAGAGTTGACTCCTAAAGATACAAAAGATGTTCATACGATTCACATATTGTTCATATGTTATATATATATATATATGTGTGTGTGTGTGTGTGTGTTCATATGGTTCTTACATTAACAAAAATAATGAGATTTTTTGATTTTATAACTCCCAATTAATGATATGGGAGTTACATAAAAAAGAAAATTACCTAAATATCATTTTCCCCTTTGTTCACATCTGTTTTTTGAAATTGTAAATTTAAAAAATTTATTTTTTATCATGATTAATCACAACTGTTTATCATAAGAATCAATAACCAAGATTGATTAACAAAGTTAATACAATAATCTTGGTTAACATTTGAACCAACTCCTATATATATATATATATATATAATTGTATATTAAATAAAATATATTTCTTTTTCAATTATATTATGATATATAATAATTATTATGAAATTAGTTTTAGTATATACGATTTCAATTGTTATAGTTATTTATTTATTATTTATATATAATCCTTTTTTATTTACACTTTTATCATATTAATATACATAATCAATATTAATTAAACTACATTAAAAGAGCGTTTTTTTTACAAATTACATATTTAGAATAGTTTTATCGATAATTTCTAGACAAACTCAATATTGAATTTTTTTTAAAATTAAGTATAATATTAATCATCATAAATACACAAGCATTTTTTCACATGATTTCAACACTTCACATTTTGTACTTATATGGTTATTTAAAGAAGAGAAAAATTCAGAAATGTTTCCCATTTTAAATAATAAGTCTTTTAAAATATTTTAAATAAATAAAATAATTGATTTTTTTTAATTCGTAAATTCCTTCAAAACAATTCACTATTAAATATTTTTATGTTCATTTATATTATTAAATATCAAAATCACATGAAAATTTATTTTTAGGTCGTAATCGTGAATGTTTTGATCTATTAGATTCATAATATCATAAATTTTATTTATTTTCAATAACGTTTTTTATTTTACAAAATAATTAGTGATCATGATTTTAAAAATTAGTACACTTTTAATAAAATAATAATCATAAAGATTATCTTTTATTTGTTTCTAAGAATTTCCACAAAACCACTTAATTTATTAAAAACACGAATTCCACTAAAATACTTAATTA